GTGAAGCTGCCTCACTAAAAGTCACAGCTGCACTACAAAATATTTTATTTAGTATTTTTATTTATTTTATTTATATCCTGCCTATCTGGTCGGATCAGGACCACTCTAGGCGGCTAACAACATAAAATAATACTATATATAAAACAGTCTTTACAAAGTTAGAGCAGCTCTAAAATTAGGGGGCCAACCGTCCTTTGAGACCGAAATGCTATATAATACTATATATAAAACAGTCTTTACATGACAATACTATATATAAAACAGTCTTTACATGACAAAAACATTAAACAAAATGGGAGAACTATAGGAGAGGGAAAAGAGGGCGTCAGGATGCGAGATTCTATCTCAGGAAGTTACAGCTGCCATGTAGTTATAGCTTAGTTGTGAAGAGGGACTAATTACAAGGAACTAGTTACTCTCATAGGCAGATTGTGACCAGAGAAAGGGGAAATTATGGGGTAAACCCCCATCCCGATCCACACATTATCTCTGGTGAGTTCTATGTTTTGGGCAATCGTAGTGTGTGTTTTCAAAACCTGCAGGCCAGTATGCAAAACCAAGGGAAGAACGTATTGCTCAAGTGGGGAGATTCAGATTTGAGGTGTGGATGCTTGTTTCATGTTGGCTCAAGTGGTGGAAGCCAGCGGATGAAGGCTAGCCTAAGTCCGGTTGCTTCTTGAGGGAAAAGACAAGATGGGGCTTTCTTCCACTTCAGGTGCAAGAGGTGACGATGTGTCTTGTTTTTGACATGGCAGGTGCCGATGCACTCTCATCCTGACAGCAGCAGTCTTAGGACAGGCTATGGGGCCTATAAAGCTCACTCTAACAACTTGCTGTTTGTCATTCCTTATCCTGCCCCACTATCTACTGCTTGAGGAGCCTGATGTACTTTGCCTAATAGTAGGGCCGGCCCTGCATGAGATTCTGATCTTATGGTTGGCAGAGACTTTTTCGGCCAGCAGGGACAATACCATCCTTACCACAAGCCTGTCTTGTTCCCGCCAAAACTGATTGTGGTCCTTACCCTAGCTGGGAGGTGCTGTGGGGAGGGGAGACAGATTTTTCCTAGAAGGAAATATGCAACACCCACACACAGACGCAGACACACATAATAGAGGTCGCCAGACAGGCATCTAAAGAGGCAAGCAGATATAAATCAGCACAGCTGCAAGCATTTTGTGGACCTTCCTTGGGGATTTAGTTAGGGTGAGTGTCATGATCAAAATCTGTGCTGTGCCTCTGGATGTGAGACTGTCTTTTCCAGTCAGTCTGGACTAGCGATGATTAGAATGAGGAGCACCTCATTCTAATTGATTTCAGATTCAAGGCCAAACTAGAGGTGACATATCTCCAGAAGAATTTGGTTTCCACACTATCTCAAGACACAAGGGTGCAATTATTGGCCATTAATCAACCTTCTGTTAGCTTGATAGCAGCATAATTTGCTGAAGTTGCTGGGAAATGATGTGCTTATTATATTAATGATTTTCATAGTCCTTAGTTATGAATTTTAAAGGACTGTTCTTGTATTTGCTCCGTGGAAGTTGTGTTACATTTTAAAAACAGATTATATTCTATTTTCTTCTGGATTACTTTTTCTTCTTACACTGTCCACTAACTTATAATAGCCTTTGGATAAATACAATAAAGTTACTGATGCTGTACTGGTGCCACTGAGAGGTTTCAAATCTAATTGGAGAAACAATGGGATGGATGGGGTTAAAGGTAATTTAATCATTTTCTTAGTTGTTTCCCTTAATCCATATTTCCTTCTGGTTGCTTTTCTCCCTGGAAGGGGAAGATCTATGTGGACCAAGTCATCTTCTCCTAAAAGGCGAAAAAAGTAGCTGGAAATAATTTTAATTGAGAATAGGGAGGAAACGTTATGCATACTTATTTCACTGCACATGTGGGAGTCCACCTTGAAAACAAATCCAGAAGTTACTCTATGTCTCTTCCACCATTAAATTTTGGCTTTGTTTACACTTTCAGAAATCTTCCCAATCCCTTTTGACCGATTTATTAAGTGATCTCTTTATCTCCACATGACACTCTTTTATTAACTCTAAAATCATTTCCATGGGTATTAACCAACTCACTGACAAATTATGGAGAAACTCAGTTTTACTATATTATTCAGCAAAGTCTGACAAATTGTGGAGAAACTCAATTTTACTATATTATTCAGCAAAGTATTCGGGACATTGAACGTCAGACTCTGGCAGCTGATTTGAATTTAATTTGCTCTCCTCATTTTTATAGTTTGCCCCCTTTGTCTGTAACTGGTGCCAATTATTTCACCAACCTCATTAACCCACTGTGGCGCTGGGCATTTTACTGGCTAGATTTAATATATTTCCCTCAGCTGTTATTTCCGGCAGATATCGTAACATCCCCTTTAAGAACCGCCGGTGTAAGTACTGCTTAGCAGAACTGGACTTAATTTTACATATTCTTCTTCTCTGTCCTAAATTTAGTGAGCTCTGCCAATTACTACTTAGCTCTGTTATTTCAAACTTATCTGTCTCCCCTGAGAGCTTAATCTGAATTATGTTAGCAGATAAACAACCTGATTTGACTGAGCATGTAGCTAAATATCTTGCTATTTGTGAAGGCAAGGTGGATGAGAGTGTGCTGTCTCCTCCAGATAGTAAAGATATGGTGGTCAAGGAAAGGGAGAGGGATGTGTTAAAACAGAAGGCTGGCAAAGAAAGAGTTAGAAATAGCAGTTTGTTTGACAGAAGAGGGGAAGGGAAAGGAGGAGGAGCAAATGACTGATGTGTGGGAGGAGGATATAAAAGTAGGAACAGGAGCAGGGGATTTTTGGATTTCGACAGGCAAGAAAGAGAAGGAGGAAAAGAAATGTGATCAAGTAAGAGAACTATTGAAGTGTGGTCCCAATCTGAAAGTGGGAGGTTTACTGTCGGACCCGGTACCTGAAAGAGAGGGTGTAACCATCACCGAAACATGAGAATGGACAGTAATGGTCTATCCAAGGGGAAAGGGTCCCTTGAAGAAGGTGGTGCGCCCCATCCCACCTACAACAAGCCACCACCGGAGGGAGATTGGGCTTGCCACCCCTGTACCATTTGCGCGATGAGGAGCGCCATGCTACAGAAGCCAACGGACAAGGAACGCTTTGGTCCGGCACCCCAGTATTAAGGAGAGAGACTGGATATAATGGTTCTGTGAAGTTCAGGACACAGTTATATGATTGGGATCGTGTTTATCCCACAGGAGTTATTATAGATACTCCTTTGTTGAATAAGAATAAATCTGTTAATGTTTTCAGTGAGTCTCCGGTTTTGATTTCCACGCCAAATTCAAGACTGCCTAAGACTACACAAGAACCTTTTCACACTATTGTAATAAACTAAGCTGACTATTTCAAGGAGCCTTGACGTAACTTGGTCATATTTATCTTATTGCAGTGGAAAGTATAATCTTGATTGTACGGTTATTGGTTTTAATGCTAATAAAAGTGATTGATTGATTGATTGACTGATTGATTGATTGTGTCTCTTATACCAGATCTGTGTTTTCCCCAATATCACTGATCACCAACAATCCCTTTTGTGTGGAAGCACCAAGTACTGAAAGAATCTGCATTTCATAATAGGGCTATAGTAAAATCCCTTCTGATTGTGTATACAGTGGACCCTTGACTTACAGACGGCTTGACTTACAGACTTTTTGAGTTACAGACTTCTCTGGCCGCAAAATTTAGGTTTGACTTGCAGCCTGAGAATTGACTTAGAGACCAGAAAAAACCCAAAATGGAACAAAAACGGCCTGTTACGGGATTAATCGATTTTCAATGCACTGTAGGTCAATGGAGACTTGACCTACAGACTTTTTGACCTGCAGCCACCGTTCCAATACGGATTAATTCCGTAAGTCAAGGGTCCACTGTAGAGAGTTTTCTACCCCAGCATTTGGGGAGTGGGGACCTAAACTACATAACTCCTAAATTAGGGTATTGATCCCAAGTAGGTTACAAAACAATATCTTTGGGCTGAAGGTTAATTCTCATCCCCTGTGATTTAAGAACAAAGTGGTGCAGAACAAAAGTTGTGCTGAATGAGTTGTGGAGTATTTTTTTAAAATTTCCTTAAGAATTCCAGTATATTGAAGATTAGCAGCAGAGTTATTGCTAAGGTTTAATGTAGGGTTTGATTAACTCCAATAAGAATTTCACTACCCATCCCAAATGTAACCAATCTAACAATAACCAGAATACATTACTTAAACTTAATTTTG